GGTATGACAAGTGGGATCTGATTTTCTATTTGATGGCTCTGTAACCAAATAAGATTGAAGGCTATAAAAATTGTACTTTGCCTGAGGGATGACAATTTTATAATGAGTAATTTACCTTAAATTTCATTATTTTTGGGAGGGGGGGGTAAATAAATTTGAGAAGAGGGGATACCTGGAGAGCAAATATCACAATTCTCACACTAGGGGAAATTGAGGATTTTTTTGATGTTGCCTTGTAAAATTAAGAACCTTAAAAGTTATATAATGTTAAAATTTGGATTATTAGCTACATTTTTTGCCAAGTTTATTTATATACCATGATAAGAAAGTAGTTTAATTAGAACTTGAATGTAATTCACTGAAACCTTCTGACATGCTCATAAAATGATGCCCACTCTGAAAAAGTTAAATCCAATTCAGTATATAGTCCACCTAAAGGTTTTCCTCAACTCTCATGTGGAGCAGGCTCAACCCTCTCATGTGTTTTCTAGCTGTGGAGAGTTTGGTTTTATGGGCTCTTTTCTTTCATTTCCTTCCTGGACAAAAAAAGTTTTATTTCTTTCATAGAAACCCTAATCCCTTTCATTTTTGCTCTTGTTACTTTCATCTCTATGTCCTTTTATTGTGAGGGCTTGATAGCTCCAACACAACCTAGGTTTTATCACTGCCACCCTTATCCTACCTGGCATCTTTATGCCAATTCTTCTCTTTCTGGTTGGGTGGGGAGCTCTTGACACCATCACATTTTCCAGGGTCTGATCTCATTAGAGACATTCTTTGCACATCAACATCCTGGAGATATCTGCAGATTTTTGGGCTTGCCAACTTCTTCCATCTCAGTTGTTTGATCCTCTTGTGATGATCCACTTTGACAACTATAAAGTCATTTCTTACATCTACACACACAAGGAAGCACCTGATCTTGATGTCTGTGTTTTCTCACTTTTAACTTCCTCTATTAGGTCTAGGATCATTGCACTCGTCTTATGGTATGCCATGTCCCAGTTTGTTCTGAATCTGGTGGTGGATTGCTTGTCCCATCTGCTGGATCAATCCCACAGAGTGGTCCATACATCCTTTGTTTTATTGTTGGATTTATTCATGTTTTGGGACCCATCAAGTCAATGCTTTTGTGACTCCCCTCAGTTCCATCCCTGACTTGACGCCCTTAGCCAAGATTGATCCAATCTTTTCTTTTATGCTCATTCTCCTCTTTGCCTTCTTCCCTGTGTTCTGTCTTTCATTAGAGACACCCCTTGCCATGTTCTTCTGGTTGTTTTTCTCTTTTGTTGGCTCAGTTGTAGATTCTCCTTCTGCTTTGTTTGTCAACTGGAAACCTTCTTTGGAGGTCCCACCTCTGTCATCTGTTTTTCATGATGAAATGTTGTGTCTTCATTTTAACGTGTCGGATTTGTCTTGCCATTTGTGAGATATATGGGATTTTCTTGTAGAGTAGTCCATTTTCTCTCTCATTCTTTTAGGCTTTCTACTTTTTCCCTCAATCATTGTAAATCGGTTGTCTCTCACTGCAGGTCTCTCAGATGCTCTTTTCAGTCAGTCATCCTACTCTTCCATATCTTGCATCTTTCTTTATCTGGCTTTTCACAAGGGCCTGTCTGTCTCAACCATTGCAAGTTACTTGGTAGCATTGTCCATGACCTTCCACCTCTTTAAGGCCTCCTTTGTTCATTTGGTCCCTTTTCCTGATTGGGACCTTCATGCCCCCTATTTAGCCTTTGACTTCCTGTTCTTTGTATCATTTGTCTTTTAAAACATCTCTTTTTGCTAGTGGTCACCTTCGTTTAGACATTTACATATTAGACACTTCCAATACTCTCTATTATAGGGACTGGTTAATGTAATTTCCAGACTGCTCTTTTCTTCCAAAGATCTGGGCTGCCCATGATGGCGATCTGATGTTTTTTTTTCATCCGTATTTCATCATTGTACAATTATTTTCATCTGAATTATCTTTTGTGTCCTGTATGAGATGTCTATTTTTATCATGCTCAAACCGCTCCCTTTTTTTGTGGGAACCACTTATACCAATTTTTAATAGTTGGGATAAGCTAGTTGGGTTCACTAGCTTGTCCATCTTACATATTCTTTTGTGGATGAGTTTCACCATACATTATTTTGTATATCATTCCACCACATTTGTCATATCACAGCCTCTCTTGCCTCATTTTGTTCCTGCCTTTGAATATCTTTCAGGCTGGTATGTGGACTACACCCGACACATTCATCTCACAATATTTGCATGATTGAGTGGTTTCATGTGCTTCTGGTTTTCACCTCCCTTCAGTTGCCATTCTCCATTCTACTCAGAGGCTCTAGTGTGATGAGTTTGCCTGTTGTGCTTTACAGTCATTTCCATGTCATTTGTATATTTCATGGCACCTCTATATGTGTCCCATAATTTCATTCCTGCAAATTGCATGTTCCTCAACTCAAACAAAAAACTCAAACTGACAAGACTCACCAGATCCAACATTACATGAGGAACTACACTATATATTCCTTACTTTTAGTGCCATCGAAAACCACCAAGTAGCTGGTGTTACCCTACAGGAAATACTTACAGTGGAAAATGGAAAGCATTAAACTCGTTTGTCTTTACTCAGTGCCCACTGTTGAGATGGGGTTTTCTGCAAGACTACTTCACAGTCTATCTTACCATTGATGCTGTTTACTACACCTTTTACAAAAACAAAATAAACAGCACTAGGTGTGGTACTGCCCTTACACGTGGCTTGAGCTTGCTGTTGTTTATCATAGTAACCCATCGCACTGTCTCTCAGTGGGGACTCAATTCCAGATTATTGTGACTGATGACAGTGGTATATGTACACTCTCTAGTATTCTTTCAACCACGTTAACCTCTCTCCATTCTTCTAGTTGAGTGTGGGGAGAACTCTTACTTTCCCAGTACCAAACTGCTGGGGAGGTTGATATGGAGAGTTTCCTTTGTGAGTGTTGCCTTCTCCCCAGTAAGAGACCAGTTGGGCTTACCCATTGTTTGAGATGTAGAGCTGGGGTATTCCCTAGAAGTGTGGTACAGGACATCCCATAATATTATTTCCCAAACAGTTCCAGGTAGATATATTCAGCTGGATGGGACTTCTATTCCACCAAGACAGAATGATCTAATGCCCCAGCTACTCTACACATTTTAATATTCCACCCTCCTTTGTGACACGTTACCATTAGCACTGGATTTATCCAATGTCCTTTACTGTAAATCTTTGTAATGTACATGAAATATACCAATGAGTAAACTTATAAAATAGATACTACATACAAAGTTCTATATCTGATTGGCTTTTGAAGGTCAAGGTCAAAGTGGGTATAGGTGTATCATAAATAAAATTTACATTTGTTAGTTTTATACTGATTTTCTCTTTGTGCTGTAGCTGTAAAATTAGATGTTCTATATAAGTTGACTAAAGAAAAATAGAGAAAACAAATATTTGGTGTTGAATATGAGATATGCTGTAAATGTTGAAGAAGAAGAATTGTATGCCCATTTTCTCATATAGTAAATGAAGTAATATTATGCATGAAAACCAAAACTGTGTTTCCAGCAAAGCTTGTTTAAAGTATAAGACCACAGAAAGAAGCTGGCTCCAGATGGTTATATATATTTTGATAAAATTACAAAAAACTAAGTGGTGTTAATTTTGTTTCTTAAAAACAGTGGCAGAACACAGTCTGGTTTTAGTTTTTAAAGAAATGGTGTATTTGGTTATCGTCCATAATGTTTCAGTTGTCTGTGTTTTATTTAATCTTAGTGAATTGTGTGCTTTACTAGTTAATACTCAACCACCTTGTGTATAATATTGGTAGTTGAAATGTAGTTAATAAATGCTTACATTGAGAATATAGGATATAAATATGATTTAGAGCATAACTATTTTGAATGATACCCAGTGATTTATATCTGCTTTTCAGAGTTTTAAACAAGGATTCTTTCCATAGTGGATGCTTGCCAATTCATATATCATGTTTAATGGAGCTACAGAAATCCAATGGTGAGATCATAATCTTTGCAGTTTCATTTGTCATTAATAAAGAACATCCATTTGATATGAAACTTTTTTATTTTGAGCATATATAATTGTTTCCTTGATGTGTAGACTTATTACACAATACAGCTGCGGGGTAAACATTCAATAACGTTTTTTAATTACTACTAAAACCACCCACAAGTTAAATATAGTAACATGTCTCAAGACTATAAAGTTAGATGTATCTGTTATTTCTTTTCCTTTGTGATGTGATCTCTTATGATTTCATTTTTTTAATGTTATGTGTCTGAAGTTGCCTAATAGACCGCATCTTATACATGTCTACCTAGGTGGTTTTGTCTCAAAAATTGTTCCTTTTAATATGTCAAAATTATGGAGCTTGATAATTAGTGCTATTTGTTAATCCATTACTCAACAGCCCTAATTGATTACATTCAATTAATTCTGTATATGGGCTCAGTTATTTTGAGCAACTTTGCAATCATCATGTAATCACGAAACTGTATGTTAAGGTGGTCCTTATTTGCAGGTAAAATTTCATGTTTAAAATTCTCACCCCTTAATTTTGTTCCAATGTACAAAGAGACATTAAATGTCAAACTTCATCCATTTTGGACCATATTTAGATGTTGCTCAATGAAGTTGAAGTTTTAGACTGCAGTGGCCTGGTATTATATTTACTATGTGATATAAAAACATTTTTATGTATTATAAATGATTTATTTAAAGTGTATTATTATTTTGTTATATGTACAATAGTATAATTACATAATTATATGACTTGGTGTGATTAGATACTCATGATGTCAGGAAAGCATCGTGTATGATTCTGCACAACATGAAGGAGAAATTGTTTTTGTTTTTCTTCCTTTGTTATGATGGCATTATACTCCTCAATAAGGGCCACACTCCTTTCAGCATTGTCATTTACCTCATTCAAGTGTTGAATTGTCTGTAGTGTCTCCTTGTAGTCTTTTCTAAGCTCCTACGACTTGGGGTCATAATCTAGAAATCCAGATGAAATTTTGAGGCACCTGAAAAAGTCTGTTGTGTTCTTTGTGTTAAAATCGTAAATTTACATGTCTTAAGACTTCCTGATATTCAGCTGGATGGTCTTTGGAGGTTCATCCATGCCTTTCTTCTCATTTACTTCACAAGACGTTGTAGAAAGTTAAGGTCAGGGAGATGTCAGGGAGTACTTTTTCCATGCGAGTCCAGTTAGTTTGAACTGTCCCATAAACATTCAAATCTTGAGGGCATTAATGCCTTGGCCATCTATCATGTATGATGCAGTGCTCCAGGTGTTATAAATCCATGAGGAGGGATGCTACCAAGAAGGGTTATGGCTAATTCAAAAAACTTGATAACCATCCCTAGGTTGGCTGACTAAAAGTTGTCTTGTAACAAACTCAATAACACTGCCCTAACTTCCTGTAAGCTTCTGCTACTTCATCAAGGTCAGCTGCAGTTTCATAATTGGATTGGTCCATGCATTCCCAAGATTGCTGGAATTGATTGAAAACTGCAATATTTGGACCAGAGAAAAGCCTCATACAGTCTTTGAAAACATATACCAGAATAAGTTCTAAGATATGATGCCAACATACCAAGTACAGAAGATTCTTTTTAATCTTGCTGTTGTCAAAGCAAACTATATTTACATGTTCAATGACTCCATGTTCCTCCAGCACATATGTCAGAAGTTTGAGCCTCTCCAGTGCTAGAAATTAGTTTTGGAACACCTAGGAGTTGGTTTACTCTTACTTCAGACAGGATCAATGGCAGATGATCCACTTGTTCTTTCCCTGTTAGTTCATTAAGGAGCTTGCTATCCCAGTGAACTACAGGTAAGTCTGTTGGTTGGAACTGTTCCTTTAAGGTTTTGACAAGTTCTTCACGGAAACAATGTTGAGATCTTTGGATCAAGGAACGGTTGATGGTTAGCTCCTCCATATCATGACCAAGGCTGTGAGTTGTGGCAGTAAGAACAAATGTTGCTTTTCTGTCACTCAGCTTGGTTCTGTCCATACGTATTGCTAAATTTGGAGGAATAATATTTCTCTTTGTTCTCTTTTTAAGTTTTGAAGATGATGATTCTTCAATTGCTTCTCTATCCTCATCACTGTTACTGATACTGTATCCACCAGCCTCATCATCAGTGCTGTGGGATGATTCCCAACAACTGACAGTTTCATCAAGGTTTGCTCTTCCTACTCTGCATGTCTTTTTTTGTCCATACTTGCTTCACTTCATTTCTCAGCCCTTGATTCCTTTAAAGAAAGAACCTTATCCACCTGGTCCATGCATTCATGACATCCTCTTTCCCTCTGAGCAAGGAGAACATCCTTGTCTTCTTGGATCTTCATCAGAGTCAGGGTATATCCCCAGTAATAATGTCAGAAAGGTCATTCAGATTACTGACAAACTCTGCTTCATTATGTTTTAGTTTTCCTTTTGAATATTTCTTTAGTTTTGTCCATTTTTTCAGAATGCTTCTCCAGTTTGATAATGGCATGATGTTCTGGATGAATTGGAATTCAAAAACCTACAGCCTCCTTGATCACAGCCTTGGAGCTTTCATCAACTGTGTTTTGTAATGTTTTGTGTTCATAGAAAAGCACACACACAGCATTTGCTTATTTGAGGGTAATTTGCTTCCTGTTAGTACAGTTTCTTCAGAACCAAGCACCCAAAGTGTAGGCTTACTTTTTGTTGCAATAGCCACTTGCAGTAATACACTGATATGGTGTCAGCTGAAATGATACAGAAGAATCTGCTTAAGTACTTATTTCGATGACCACCGGCTACTAACTTTCGTAGTAGCCAATGCAAGTCTTGCTATATCTCATTCCAACAATAAAACTAGTGGATTAAATTGTTTGAAACTTCATAACAACTTTCATAAATGCACATAGTTTGAGAAACATAAAGCTTGTTTCTTTTGATAAATTTAGTTTTTTTGCATTATGATCTTTAATATCTTGGAAAATTACAGTAGAAAATGGTATTTATAAGAAATTATTACAATATTTATATTTGTTCCAGATTTGAACTTATTACTTTTTATGTTTTAGTACATCATTTTGAAATTCCCAAAAATTTGTATCTACCATAAAATGCAAATTTTATCTATTTTATTTTTTTTAATAATCACATACTCTCCTTATGGTTTCTAGTAATATACAAGACTCAGAAATAATATTTGCAGATAAACCTAAACAGTAAATGAGTATTTTTATTTCTAACTAGGATTTCATGTTTATATATGTACATAAAAACATTTTAATTTTGTTTCATAAAGGTGTTTTCATTTCAAGTTTGGTTTCATTGCAACTGTACTTTTGATTATTGTGCCGAAAAAAACCATGGGGTTAGCAGTGTGAACTTCGTACATTTGCCGTAAATTGTTACGTCTGTTGGGGGTCACTCTCATTCAGTCTAGTGCAGGTATATTTGAACGTTACTGTAGATATGATAGTAAAAAAGCTTTTCGGTACTTGAATATTATTTATTTGAACTTTCAAACAAGTTTATTTCAACACATGTCCTTGTATGTTGTTCACTATAGAAACAAAACTAATTGCCTCTACTAGTGAATGTATGTAATAGCTTACAGTAGAGGTGGTTTGAATAACACCGCCTGACCCTAGTTACATGATACATCCTGTTACAAGAGATTACCAAATGACAGACACCATAAATTACAAAGAAAATCACTTTACAGCACTTAAAAGATTAGTCTAGGTCACATTCCTTACATTATAGGCAAGGTTTATATTGGAATTTGAAACTTAAGCTCTTTTGTGTATTGACACTCCAACTGTGAGAATGTCCCAACTTCCACTGTATTATTGAGATGAATGTGTTTAGTCTGTTTCAGAACTTACATACGGGTTTTATTGTTATCACTTGTACACTGAGTTTTAAAACCCTTTGCAAAATATCAGAATAAGCTTTTTATATATCAGTTAGACTGTTTTAATTATAAAGCAATAACAAAAGAAGTGTGGGTCTTACTACAAAGTAAAGATAGAAAGAAGAAAAAATATAAAATTCTTACATGGTACTAGTAGTACATACAAATCACATAAGGTTTTCATTCTAAATACTGAATCATATTATTATTATGAACTAAATATAAATTACATTAAATTATTGAACTTAAAACTGCTAATTTAAATGCAAAATAATATAAAAATCACAAACTCTTTCAGTTAAAAGAGTTAAGCCTAATTCAGATAAAGACCATGCACTCGCCACTCGAATGTTAACCCTAACATTCATGGATAAGCTTCTTTTCTAAAAATATATCCATTTTGAGTTAATTTTTCAATATAATGA